ATATATATATATATATATATATATATATATATATATATATATATATATATATAAGCAGTAATATAACAGCTAGTGAGTATCGTTTCACGGCGAATTACTTGTATCAATTGCATCAAGTGCAAGTTTGTCAGTGCATATCGCTACGTCTATGTTTAAAACTTCTTTTATTAATAATATTTTTTACATATTTCTTTGATTATTTGCTTTTTGTTGAATCATTATTTTTGTTACAGTTTTGTGAAAACTGTTTCTTGGTCTTTTGCACAATCTTTGTGGAAAAACCGTATATACAGATATCAAAAAGTTCAACGTATATAATATAACATTATTCTATTGAATAAATATTATCAGTTGACATACATTTGCACCAAGTTTGGTAATGTAATGAAAGGTAAAACATTAATATTTATTAACATTTTATTAATATTTTATTAATATTTTATAATAAATACGGTATATCTGATAATGAAACATTGTTATTGTTTGATTATTATGATTTATTATATTTCAAATATGTGTAAATGTATGTTTATAATGTTTTAGGTAAAATGCTATTCAATCCGTTGAACGTAGTAACGCTGCTGTACACAGTATTTCGAACTTTAAATTTGCCTCAAACTCCCGTTACTGATGCCGAAAGGAATGTAAAAGTAAAAATAGAAACCATGTTACAAACATATATGAAAATACATTTGAAATAGAAAAAGAATCACTCGATTTCCAAAATTTATTCAATATACTGAAAACAGAAATTATAAAAAATAAAGAAGATAAAGAAGATATATATTACGTTAAAGAAATAGAATATGTCGACGATCAAATTCCAATAGAATATATGAGGGTAGTCCCAGAAGTACCCGTCCTAACAAAAAAAAACACAAAAATTTTGAAAAAATATATCTTTATTTCTCAACATAGTCCCCTTTTAGCTCGATACACTTTTCCCAGCGATGTTCAATAGCTTCGATACCATGTTTATAATGAAAACCATCGAGTTCCTCAAAATAGCCATCAACTGCAGACTCCACCTCTTCATTGTTAGCAAATCTTTTACCACCAAGCCCTTTTTTCAAGTTTGGAAATAGATAATAATCTGAGGGGGCTAAATCTGGTGAATAGGGTGCGTGAGAAAGCAATTCGAACTTTAACTCATTGATTTTGGCCATCGCAATAACGGACGTATAAGCCGGTGCATTATCATAATGAAACAACACTTTCTTTTTCGCCAAATGCGGACGTTTTTTTTTGACTTCATCATTCAAACGCTGCAATAAGTTCGCATAATACTCGCCGTTGATTGTTTTTCCTTTTTGAAGATAATCAATGAAAATTATCCCACGCACATCCCAAAAAACTGACGCCATAACCTTGCCAGCCGATGGAGTTGTCTTCGCCTTTTTCGGAGCCGATTCTCCCCTTTTAGTCCATTGTTTCGACTGTTCTTTCGTCTCAGGTGTGAAATGATAAACCCATGTTTCATCCATGGTTATGAATCGACGCAAAAACTCGGCCTTATTACTGCGAAACATCGCCAAACACTCCATTAAAACATCCTCACGACGCTGTTTTTGTTCAATTGTGAGCAAACGCGGCACCCATCGTGCGCACAGCTTTTTCATGTCCAAATTTTCAGTCAATATGCAATGCATACAGCACTTTTTGATATGCCTACCATGTCAGCTAACTCGCGCACTTTCAGTCGACGATCATCCAATACCATATTGTGGATTTTTGTCACCATTTCAAGCGTGGTCACCTCATTTGGTCGATCACTGCGATATTCGTCTTGGCAGCTCTTACGGCCTCTTTTAAACACTGCCACCTAATATTTTATTGTTGTAAACGAGGGAGCAGACTCTCCCAGAGTAGAATCTAGCTCAGTTTTGATATTGGTTGGGCTGAGACCTTTCAAATGAAAATATTGTATCACATAACGATGACCAATTTTCTCCATGTTTACAAATGTATTGAGAGCGTTCACTATTGATGGCTGCCAAACTAAAACTAAACAACGTAGCGTCTTGAAACTTCAAACTTCAGCTTTATAAGGTTGATGCTTTCGGCCATAGTGATTTTTTTCAAACAACAACCGCCATCTATACGTCAGATCGGGTACTTCTGGGACTAACCTCGTAAATAAAGTGCAGCGGATTTTTGGATCAATGGGAATAAGAAAAGAGCTCTGGAGAGCGTTAAACATAAATTCCGTAAAGTGCTACGCATATAGCAACTGCGACGATAACAACAACAAGTGCAGAGAGGTGAGATATTTATGGAAAAAATGCAAAAAATTTCTTCGTATACATTACAGAAATTCCAAGACTGTCTGAAAAGAGGATCATTAATTCATGATATCGATATTGTTCGATGGGCCCTTAAAGCGCAAGAGGAAGTAAATTGTCCAAGATTTATAGCTTTAGAAGAATAGGTAAGACGTTTTAATAGAAGACATCATATTCTATCGCGAAAAGTTACTAAATTTGTTACCAAAAAATCTATAAAATCAAAAGAAAAAATAGAAACAAAAAGCAATAGGTTTATTGGAAATGTTAAATGTTATATTGAACGTTTTGGACTCGAAAATATTTACATTTCAGACCAAAGCGGATTCCAACTAGAACATCATGCTGGTCGTTCTTTGGCGATATAAGGTTCAAAAAGGACTGCATTAGAGTGCACTATCAATATCAATGACAACGCATAGTTATACAATGCAACTGACAATTTCAGGCGACAGTCAATTATTATCACCTCTTTTTATTGTTTTAAAAGAACCCACCGAAACATTTGGTCCCAGGGTACAAGAAACTATGTTTAGAGAAAATAATATTTTTGCTATGGCATCAAAATCATATATATATATATATATATATATATATATATATATATATATATATACTC